GTGAGTGTGTGTATTGTATTTTTTTTATTACCTTTTTAAAACAACTTTATTGAGGTATAATTTCTGTACAGTAAACTACACATATTTCAGATGTACAATTGGATGAATTTTGATAGATGTATGCACCAATGAAACCACCACCACAATCAAGATACCAAACATTTAAAAGAAAGTATGTGCATTGTATTTCTGAGAGAAGGACGTGTATTACGTTGTGTTTCTGAGGGGTGTGTGTGAGAAGGCATATATCTGAGACAGTGTGTGTGTATATTGTATCATATTTGAAAGAAGAGAAGAGTATGTGTTATTTCTGAGAACCCTCAGCTCTCACACAGCCAGGGTGACATCCGTGGGCCACGCCTGCCACACGTGTGTCCCAACACGCCTTGGGCAGGCTGGACCTGTCTGCAGCAGAGGGTGGAGCCTGTTTCCTCTGGGTCTGTCAGTTCCTAAGGCCCTGGGAGCCGCCACGTGGGGCCCCCTCCCTGACCTCTCCAATCTGGAGGCCTCCTCTGCTTCCAGCACCCCAGCCCCATGGCCCTCTCCTCCCGCCCCACCCCCAGTGGTCTGACTGGTTCCCAACAAAAACACCCTGAGAATGAGCTCACGGAGAGGCTGCCGCCTCCACACATACGTCCACCCCACACGCCCAGGAGGGGAGGGCATTTCCAGTCCCAGGTGACACAGCCCGGAGCGCTGGGCCAGGGTATCCGGGGGCCTTGGGGTGGGCAGGGCTGGCCGGGTGAACTGAGGGCAGGTGGGAGGCCAGCAGATGGCTGTTTGTCCTCCTTCGGTTAATTACACACAGTGAGATTTTGGAGTTGCCTTTAGGGCAGGGCCCTGGACTGAGGACAGGCAAAGGGAGACTAGAATGTTCCCAGCTGTGGGCTGGCCGGGATGGGTGTGGGACAGGGTGCTGGCTGGAGTGAGGAGAGCATGGGAACAGAGGGGTGGCTGGGCTGGGCGGGTAGGGAGGGAGCTGGGAGGGGGCTTGTGAACCCTAGTGGCGTGGAGGCTGAGAGGCTGGCTTGCCTGGCCCTGGCAGTGACCCTCCAACCCCGGTCACCCCCAGGAGCAGCAATGTCCGTGCAGGTGGCAGCCCCCGGAGGCGTGGGGCTGGGCCCCGAGCGCCTGAGCCCCGAGGAGCTGGTGCGGCAGACGCGGCAAGTAGTGCAGGGGCTGGAGGCCCTACGGGCAGAGCACTGCGGCCTGGCCGGGCACCTGGCGGAGGCCCTGGCAGGACAGGGCCCGGTGGCTGGCTTGGAACTGCTGGAAGAAAAGCAGCAGGTGGTGAGCCACTCACTGGAGGCCATCGAGCTGGGGCTGGGCGAGGCCCAGGTATGAGGGGACCGACTTTGAGGGATGTGGCTCAGGCCTGAGTGGGAGGACCCAGGGGTGAGGGGGCCAGGTTTGCAGTGGGGGGCAGCCTGGGAAGAGGGAGGCCTAGGGGAGCCAGGCCTGGGAAGGGGAGGTTCTAGTCCAGAGATGGGATCCCTGGGCTGTGTTGGGGGCTCCTTATGTGTGACAGGGAGTCCTGAGCCAGATCGGGTCCCTCCGTAGAACTGTGGGTCCTGGGGAGACTTTGGGATTGCATGGGTGGAATATGAAGTGTCCCTGAGCAGAATTTATGCGCCTGGGTGAAGTCAGAGGAGTCCCTGGGCAGGATCTGGGTGTGTCCCTGGGAGCCTCTGAGCATCCCCGGAGCCCCATTGGAGGGGTCTC